GAGGAAATTTAAAGGGTCAGTGACAGTAGTTGCCTCTCATTTGTTTTTTCTTCCTTTCCTGTCTTTCTTTCTTTCTTTCTTTCTTTCTTTCTTTCTTTCTTTCTTTCTTTCTTTCCTTTCCTTTCTTTCTTTTTTTCTCTCTCTTTCTCTCTCTATCTCTCTCCCTTTCCTCTTTCCTTCCTTCCTCCCTTCCTTTCTTCCTTGGATAAAGAGCTTTATTTGGATTAAATGAGAGCTGGTGAAAGAGAAGGGCCCAAGACTCCAATGAGATTAGGTTCCAAAAGGGCAGGCAGAGCTTATCAAGCCAATGGACTCCACCTCCCAGCAGCCTTCCAGTTAGTAGGGTCAGTAAAGGCCTGCTGGGAAATGTATTTGCCAGTAAATCACCAACGTTTGCCAACCATCACTACAATGGTAGAGTTTCTCTTTTCCATAATTAAATCTCCACAACACCTCCCATGACACCACAAATATTACAAAAAATGTTTTAAAAAATCTCATTTGACAGATCTTATACTCGTCTTCAGTATTTAGCTCCGAAGTCTCATCCTCTGCCAAAAATAGTTCTACTAATCTCATCGGCTGAAACGTCCATCCATGTAGTGAGAAGACAGTCTTTGCTGGCCCATGGTCATTCTAATCCAATTTCCCCAGCCAGTAGGGCTGCATAGCAGAGTAAGGCTCAGATTGGGGGTGAAGGGGGAAGGGACGGGGCTTATTTTCTCTAGTATAAGTTTGCATCTAAAGCTTGGTGGGAGAGCAGAACCAGAAAGGCTTGAGGGAAGGGTCCAGGCCCTGTACTCGGTCAGAAGAGAAGGAGGAGGAGGAGGAGGTGGAGGAGGAATGCTTACCATGCTTGTTGTATTTGTATATCTGTAAGAACTTTCTTCATTTTCTTCCATGTCTTCTTTTCCATCTATTTTCCATGCCAGGTGCCAAGGGATTCACAGGAGGAATGCCAGGACAGATGTTGGGTAGGGAGTAGGTAGGGACCTAGGGGTTGGCCTCCCGGATGCCCTGGTTATGGTGCAGGAAGGGGGTGCACTGGGGAGAAAGCTGGATTCCCCCGGGGAGCTGCTGCTGGAGATGGAGAGGGGCCTGCAGGGCAGGCAGGGTGGTCAGGTGGTGGATGGCAGGATGGGCACCTTCAGGGTACCTGACGTCAGTAGATCTGGATTTGGACCTGGCTGCTTGGCATTGGGATTCCACTTGTTCAGGTGTTTCCTCCAGCCTTTACACACACCACCACCCGGGCTTGACTCACCCTGCCTCTCACCTCAAGTTCTTTTTCCTAAAAATAAAACAAATCTAGTAAGATAATTTGCATGTCACCGAGTTCACTCATTTCAAGTATACAACCCAGCGGTCTGGAGTATATTTACAGAGTTGTGCAAACATCTTCATGATCGAATCGATAACATTTCCATCACCTACAGAAAAAGCGCTGACCCACTACCAGTCACGCCATTGCCCCTCTCTGCACTCACCCCTTCGTCACCACCGGTTCCTTCCTGTCTGCAGTGACTTCCCTCTTGTGCACATTTCACAGGTGCTGAATCACAGAACAGGTGCCACTGTAAGCACTTCACTCACTGGCGATAAGAATGTGTGCATTGTTGCGGGAACATCAACACCACCATCTGTAAATACATGGATTGCTTCACTTGGTTGCTTGTCACTCTTGTGCAGCGACCATGCCGATCTATCTGTATGGTTCCAGTTTTAATGGCATCGGCTGTCACAACAGTAATCACTTACTTTTCCTTAGTGGTTTACACAATAATTAAGGATATCATTCTTTTTCAATTTTTATCTTCCAATATCAATTCACCCCTTCCATGATTTATGTTATATATTTGTACATACTTCTTTTTGTTCAACAATTTAGCCAGTAGTTGCTTTATTCTGTTATGAAAAGTAATACTGTGTGTTAATGAGACTGTTTTTCTGGTTTTGGTCTCATGCATTTTTGCTTTACCCTTGGAGAGGATGCAGGCTGTGTCTCCTTTTCCTGGTTCCTATTCCCTTGTGCCTGGCGGATGCCAAATGTTCTTGCCCCTCATTTCCCTTGACTGAGGTGTTTCCAGAGTCCCTTCCTGACTTTCTCACCCCCTGTGCCCACAGTTCTGCAACGGAGACCTCCCTTCTCCCTCTTGCTCTTCCTGGATGCATGTCCTGTGGTCAGGGCTCAGGTCTCCCCACATGCCAGCCTGTGTCTTCACATTCAAGGGACTTTCTCCTCTCATGCTGGTTCAGGCCACTAGTCGCCCTTCCCCTTCTGTCTCCTACAGCTTTTTCTGGAACTCACTTTTCTTCCCACGGATGCTCCTGACTTGTAGTGTGAGCATGGGAGTGAAGCCGCCAGGGTTTCCAGTCTGAGCGCTTATTTATTTGCTGATTTTCACTTCCGGGTTGTGTGAAGTTGCAACTTGTTCCATCTCATGCTTTACGAAGGTGTGAATTTTGTGTAGTTTCCTCTGTCTTCTTAATTGTTGGTGTGTTTTTAACAGCTGTCATGGGTATTTCCAATTTCTTTGTTGGATATTACCTGAGCACCAGAATTTTCCATATTTTTAATATAAAAAATAATTACAAAAGAATACCTCCTAAAATGTTTGAGGCAGATGTAAAAAATGAATTATTTTATTTCATACTTTATCTAATACCTAACATTGACATAAAAGGAAAAGTTATCAGGGCTAAGTGCTATGACCAATACACTTCATATTTCTCTTCAACTTCTTACGAATACAAAAAGAATGTAACTAAAAACAGAAGTGAAGTGTAATAAGAAAGAATCAGGTTTTTATTTGAGAAATGAAATATGTTATATAAAAGGCTCAGGGCATTTAAATTTAAAAATATTTTACTGAAAAAAACAATTCAGTAAAATCATCAGAAGTATGTAAAATAAAACGTATTATTTTAATAAAATTTTAAATAAGTTTTACTTTTTTAAATCCCTCATTTTTTTTTTTTTTTACTCATGTCTTTAATTATTTAAGCAATTACTGTTCACATTTGGACTTCTTTTAAGTTAATTCTTCTGTTCTCTTTTTTATGTGTACTATTTTGTTCTATATTCATTTAGTTTTTCATAAGTTAAAAATAATGAAAATCGCCCTAATAAGATTACCAAAAAAAGTAAAAGTGCTGAGTAAACATGTTGAGATGTGTGCAATTTGTATTTTAAAGGAAATTGTAAAAGTCCCTGAAGTATATGAAAGCACATTTGAAAAAACTGGCGAATGTTTTCTTTTGTCTTCAACAAGAAACTAACCATAAACATGTTAACCTTTTTAGCTGGTGATCTCATTTCTATCTTCTATGTTTTAGTTTGGAGTCTGGATAGAAGATACTTTCTAACTTCAAGGAAGTTGAGGGCAATCTGACTATGTATTGAAGACAGGGCAAGACGTACCAATGAGTTACGGAGAGAATGTGAGAAGTGAAGGGTCATGGAGTGTCTGAACTAGGGACACCCCGGAGGGAGTTTCATAAATCCATGGTGGGAGCAGTCAGCATGGCCGTGTGCACCTGCAGCCACAGTCAGCTGGCAGATTTAGAGGGAGAAGAAGCATCCTGGTGGATTCCATGGGCGTGGGGAAGGGGCTAGTGAGGTGAGGAGACTAATCCTTGGTGGGTGATGAGGGTTGGAGTATGGTGATAAAGACCCATGACTTGATGTAAGTGAGGAGGGACAAGGGGTATAAGGAAGTGAAGAAATCAGCAGGGAAAGGGAAAGAGAAAATGCAGTTTCTTTCCTATTCCAAAAACCCTCCCACTCACCTTCACCCTGGACAGGAGGGGGTGCTATCTCTCCCACCCTGCCTCCTGCCTGGTCACCTTGACACCTTGGTTGTCGTAATTGTCACAAAAAATTGGTTGTGATAAAAGGTGATCTATTAAAAACTAGATGACAGCAGGCCTCCCTCAGCCTCTCAGGAGGTGTGATTCTCTTCCAGAGACTTCCTGCAAACTTCAGAATATAGAATCATTTTTCTTATGCCCCAGAATCTGTTTCCCAAGAACTATCTGGACAGTAGATCCTCCAGAGAAACATTCTCCTCTTGTTGCTTATGTTCCAGGCTTTAGCCTTTTCCACTGAAAGTCATCACAGTGGACACCTGGGGACACAGGGGACTGTGGGATGGCTGTGGTGTGGGGGCAGGAGGGCTCTCCTGGAACAAGGCCAATGACCAAGCATCCCAGGTTGAGTCTCTGTCCCCGCGGGCAGCACAGTCCCCAACCGTCTCTGGGCTCCAATCTGCAGCTGATACTGTTTGGTACATTGATTCTGGGAAAGCAGTCTCAGTGCTGCTCTCACAAGGCCAAGGCCCATAAGGATGTGACATAAAATCTCCCTCTGCTCTCAGGGCTGGGCTGTCACTCCCTTAGTGACACCCTCAGGCAGGGAGGGGGAACCTTTACAGCAAACTTTTTTATTCCAATCCAGAGCTACAAGGCTTGTGACCTCAGGGACACAGTCCCCGTTATCTCCACCTCTCTACCACTCATATGTGAGTTCTTTGATGGGAACTTCCGGGTCCAGGTGACCTTAGTAATATCATCCTGTGCAAAGTGTCTGGTAATGTTTTTGACTTATTTTCTATTCAGGTTGTTTGTTTCCTGTACTTTGTTTGTTTGAAAAGTTCATTGTATGGTTCCTTCCTTCCTTCCTTCCTTCCTCCCTCCCTCCTTCCCTTCCATCTATCTTTCCTCCCTTCCTTCCTTCCTTCCTTCCTTCCTTCCTCCCTCCTTCCCTCCCATCTATCCTTCCTCCTTTCCTTCCTTCCTTCATTCCTTCCTTCCTTCCCTTTTTTCCTTCCTTTCTTCCTTCCTTCCCCCCTCCCTTCCTTCCTTCCTTCCTTCCTCCCTTCTTCCCTACTTCCTTCCATCCTTTTTTCTTTCCTTCCTTTCTCATACACATTTACTTGTGTATTTATTTTGTACTGCTCAACTGTACAGAAGTTTGACAATTGATCTGAAATAAATTCTGTTTCTGGTTTATTGGTTTTCACTATTAGATTTTATTTTTGTCATTACTCTGGAGAAATGGTACACATCTTCTCTTAGAGTATAGACACTGAGTATCAGATTTCCCAGTCAGTCAGCTCATACTACATATGAGTCATGGGCCGGGTGCTCTCCATCTGCTACAATGCTCCTGAACCCTCTGTGATCTTCTCTCATAGTCATTGCCTTTGAAGTTGGCCAAAAATGCCAGTGCTTCTAATAACTTGGGGAAAAGGAAAGAAACTTTGCTCTGGAGCGACTACCAGCGTCGGTAGAAAAAGTCCTTGTGAGGATCCCATCTGGAGGCCTGAGGAACACATGCCCTGAGCCCACACGTGTCGGAAACCAGCTGCCAAACAGGAGATTTTGTTCAGACACAAGGGATTAAGGACAGAACCAAGGTGTTCGGGTCTCATTCCTCACGTCTACTTGTCACCTCTACAGATATGCCACATAATCTGGCAGGTGCCTTGGGTGATTAACAATCTAGGATTATCTAAAAACCGACATTAAGCATGTAATTACCCAGACTGACCTATAAGTTCACCCATCATTACAGCTGGCACGGGTCTCCCTTACAGATTCTCTTACGTGTTACTGTTGTGCCAAACGTGTTGCAGCTGTTGTTTTGTGAGGGTCTCCTGAGAGGTGCCCTCAATCCCAGGGGACAGGCCCTGGCCTCTCCCATCGGTCTGTACATGAAAATACAATACTGGTGGGGAAAGTATTTTCTGCCCTTGCACCCTACTCTGGGTTTTAATGTACTTATTGGTATTTTCTTGGCAATTCATAGTTTTCTTCTGATGCAGTGATGTATCTATTACCTTTAAGCCTATTTTAAAATTGCTCTGCACATTAGGACTGATATAAAAAGAACACTGTATATAAATAAGGTGTATCAATGGACCCTTGCCTTTATTACAGATTCTTCTTCCACTGCTGGATAAGGACCCCCATGGCCTGTTATCTCCAACAACCTGGGCCCTGATTCACTGTACTGGGAAATACCCTGCTTGCTTTTTTTCATTTTCTTAGACTCCCTGTTCCTCCTTACTCACTTTAGAATCACGGATCATCCTTATCATCATAATGTATTCTTTGTAACCACCGACATTAGTCTTGCTTGCCTCGCTAAC